CCGGGGCGCCTTCAGGTGCCGCCGGCTGCAGTTTGGGGTCAGCATCGCCCCAGGACTCTTTCAAAGTTTAATGCTCCAAGGACTTTGAGGCGTCGTCCTGTACTTTGATGATGTCCTCATCTCTGTGGCCACCCATGAGGAACTCATGGCACAACTACGAGCGGTGCTGCACAAGTTCCAGCAAGTCGGGCTTAAAGTCAGGTGGGACAAATGCCAAATTGCTGTCCCCCAGATAGAGTTCTTGGGGTTCCTAGTCGATGCCCGCGGTATTCACCCGACTGCTGCCAAGACTAAAGCCATCGTGGAGGCTCCTCCTCCAACAAACAGAGCTGAACTACAGGCCTTTTTATGCCTCCTGAACTTTTATGCTGTGTTCCTGCCCCACAAAGCCTCTGTAGCTGAACCTCTCCACCGCCTCTTGGACTCTGGTGTGCCTTGGTTGTGGGGCTGCCGCGAGGCTGCTGCATTCCAAGCTGTCAAGCACCTCCTGGTCTCTAATGATGTGCTCGCCCAGTATAGCGAGCACTTGCCCCTTGTGCTCACCTGCGATGCCTCACCCTATGGGGTGGGAGCCGTCCTTTGCCACCAGCTTCCCAGCGGCAGAGAGGTTCCTGTGGCCTTCTTCTCACGCACCCTGTCTGCCTCTGAATGAAACTATGCCCAGATAGACAAAGAGGCCCTCGCTATTGTGGCTGGAGTGCGGCGGTTCCACCACTACGTCTATGGCCACCGGTTCCTCATTGTCACCGACCAAAAGCCGCTCCTCGGCTTGCTGGCTGGTGACTGGCCAGCCCCACAGGTCATGTCCCCTCGCATGACCCATTGGTCTGTCTTCCTAGCCTCCTACGATTACTCGCTCCAGCATCGCCCCGGCAAACAGATCGTGCACGCCGACGCCCTCAGCCGATGCCCCCTGCCTGTCACCATCGAAGATCCTGCCGCTGTGTCCCCGGTTTTCCTGGTCGACAACCTCAACCTTCCGGTCTCTGCTGCCAACATCGCCCGGTTGTCCACAAAGGATCAGGTACTTTCCCGGGTCTTAGATTGGATTAGGCAAGGATGGCCCAAAGACCCCGTGGATTCTGAATTCCTGCCCTTCAACTCTCGCTTGGCAGAGCTCTCCATCCAACGCGGCTGCCTGCTGTGGGGCCATCATGTAGTTGTGCCGCCCTCATTGAGGACTACCGTTCTGCAGCAGCTACATAGCGCGCATCCCGGCATAGTCCAGATGAAAGCCCTGGGCCGTAGTTATGTTTGGTGGCCTAAGCTAGACCAAGACATCACGGCCCATGTTACTGGGTGCCCTCAGTGTCAGGGAGCCCAGGCGCTGCCGCCCAAGGCAGAGCCCCGCGTCTGGGAACCACCTTCCACACCCTGGTCCCAGGTGCATGTGGACTTTGCTGGCCCCATTCAGGGCCGAATGCTCCTCATCGTAGTGGACGCCTTCTCTAAATGGGTTGAGGCTGTCCACATGCTCTCAACCACCGCTGACGCTCTAATAGCGGCCCTCCACTGCTTGTTTGCTACTCATGGCCTTCTTGACGTGCTGGTGTCCGACAACAGACCCCAGCTGACGTCCGCCAAATTTGAGGCTTATCTGGCCTCGCTGTGTATCTGGCATGCCCTTACCTCCCGGTTCCACCCAGCTAGCAATGGGCTGGCGCAGCGCATGGTGCGCTCCGTGAAAGAGGCCCTCGCCAAAATGGGTCACCTAGCCTGGCAGGAGTGCCTTGATGCCTTCCTGCTGGCTCACCATGCCACCCCTTCCCCGGACTCCAACACCAGCCCGGCTGAACTCTTAATGGGTTGCCGTCTTAGGACGACCCTTGACCGCATGGACCCCTCCTACTCCATCCCAGCGCCCCTAGATTCCTGTGGGGGTGTCCGCTCCTTCGCCCTGGAGGAGGCAGTGTATGCCAGGAATTACGTAGGGCATCTCTTGTGGCTACCGGGCGTTGTAACTGACCAGACCGGGCCCTGCTCCTACAGGGTCAGGCTGGACGATGGCAGAACTTGGAAGCACCATTGCGACCAGTTGCGGAGCAGACGTCAACAACTTACCAACCAGCAGCCACCTACCGACCAACAGCCACTTGCAAACGACGCAGAGCCCAGAAACGAGGAGGCCTCGACAGATCAAGCAGCCAATGCAGAAAACCGAAGCGGCGACTTACTTGGTGGGCCAGCCCAGTCCTTGGCACCTCTGCGGCTCGTGCGATTGCCATCCTGCGAAGCAAGGTCCTCGGCCGATCATCCAGTCTCCCCAGGCGGCAACAGAGGGCCTCGCGTTTCCAGCCGTGTTAGGCGGTGCCCAGCCTATCTACACGACTACGCTTGCACAAGCGTAGGGGAAAGGAGTGTCACGTTCTGAGCATGCTCAATAAAAGTTGTTTTAAGCGGGAATTACTCGACAGCTGATTGGCTGGTCGTTTGACAGCTCCAGTATAAAAAGGGAGCTGTCCAAATGAGCAGCGTGCGTTCCTGTCTGAAGCCGGTTCTTTTACTGCTAGCCTGTATTGTCAGGGAATAAA